GTTGAAAAGTTTTACAAGAATTATATATACTACAAATACAGATAAAATTTTGGTTTAAACAAAGGCCCTGAGACTTGCGAAAAAAAAATGCTGCTTCAAAATGCTGCTTTAATTAAGGGTTTTTTCCAGCCTACTATCACTAATCTTACCGTAACTCTTGATGTTGAAAATACACCACCTTGTAATTTTCATATTTATGCAAAAATTATTTCTTTAAAAAATTTGTCTTTTTTAAAAAATTTAAAACGTCTGTTTTTGAGAAAAACCGTTTTGAATTTTCGTTTTTATTTTACTTTAAAATAAAATTTGCCGATATAAGCGTTTTACCATTTTTCTGAATCTGCAGGAGACAAACCTTCAAAAAGAAGTAAAAATCAGGAGATTCTTTTGCGAACGAAGAAAAATACAAGTCCTCAAAGGTGACCATGTCGAGGGTAAATTGCATTTTTTTTTCCCACTTTAGAACGGTCTAACTTTGCCGCCAGCGCACTTTTTGAATTAAACTCTTTCAATTCCAAAATCCGGTATCAAGTGCTAAAAGTTGGCAGAAAATGAAAAAATTTTAGGGATCGAGGTTCAAACTTGTGCGAGTTGGCGTGGAATGGCCCATATATCTTCTTTTGAAATGATACTATGGCACTGAAACTGCGATGCATCAAGTTTTTTCGTATACCGTTAAAGGGATACCATTTAAACAGCAAAAGAACCGCTATTTTACAGTTCGAGAAACTAAAGGTTTAAACATTAATTTCAAAGGATATTTTAACTATTTGGTTAAATATTTCAGTCAACTATGTTTTGTTAATTCAGTACTGCAGAGATGTTACATATGTGCGATGACTACACGTGTTACCTAGGACAGTTCGTTGACAGGAGGAAAGATGGATTATAATAGTACTTCATAGTACATTACTTTCAGTTTTACACGATTTGTCTGCTGAAATACAGTCCCTTTAGTATGACCAAACGTCCTTTATGATTTTTTTAAATAATGTTCGACAAATAAGCGGTTTGCTTTTGATTCAGCCTGCGCTGTTAGTGAAAAGATCAGCGGTTCGACGTCAACAACGTGTTTTAACACTATTTTGAAATCTGCGTATACTTTCCGGACCACTAAATCCGTCCTTTTCCTTGCTATTTTAAAAAGAGCGAGCGAGGAGGTAAAATTCCGGTTTAGTATGAAACGTTACTTTATTAAAAAGTAAAGGAAGACGGTTATAACCAAACTGTCAAGCTGTGAGAATAAGAGCTAGCGATGTGTTTTGGTGTCTTAAAGCAAGTGACTCCAACCGCTATCCCCCCATGTTACTGAATCGCGTGCAGTGATGTCTGAAAACATCAAACGTTTCGTCAGAATGCTAATTATGTACTACTGGTAGATAGCAATTTCCAACTATGAAAAAAACTAAAATCGGTCGCAGTAACAGTTCCAATATAGTCGTGTAACTTAAAAATGCTAAAGCATACGAATCACTTTAAGTACCATTTCACATTTAAACAAATTTCTGAGTAGCCTTTGGCACAGTGCAGACAAACTCTGACATCACTGTAGTTTTTTTTGCTTTTTGAGGACAATATATCTCGAATAATACAAAGCAGTGCATTAAAAGAAATTGGACAAAACGTTTATTTCTCAAAGATGTTTCCGTTTTTCAAATATTTTGAATTGAATGAGAAAGATGGGTGACAAGAAAACAGTTTTGTCTGGCAAATCTGCTTGAAGAGAGCGAAAACACACTTGTAAAAATTTTCTACTTGAAAGTATAAGTGATTAAAATACTGCAAGATAGTTGTTTCTGAAAGATATGAGTAAATTGAGAAGAGGTCAAACGGTAGTCATGCATTTTTGGATGACAAATTTAATCGTGGGACACATGACTTTTTTTCTGTTGAACTTTAGAGCGTTTTTGGCTGTTGTCACTATGTAAGAATTAAGCGAATTAACATATTTATAAGTTTCATTTTTGGGGCTTTTTTTTCAGTTTTTTATGTTTTATTTCTTCATATAATCAAGATCGAATGTTTATAAATTCATTGTAGCTAGTTTCAAGTTTTATAACTGTTTTTTTCACAGCCATATAACTGTTTTTCATGCACCTTTTTGATTTATTACAGAGTAGTACCAACGATTGTTTTTTTTTACAGTGATGAGCACGACTTATTGCTTCGATTCGTAGTCATCAAGATTTTGTTTTTCAGGTCGGACAACTGTAATAAGCATTCACTTTTTAATGGGAAAGCTGCCACCGCTGAGATTGTTCTGTATTTCAGTAATTATCAGTTTTGGAGGAGCATTTCATTTTGGTTATTTGTTGGTGGTGACTAATCCTGCTCACACTGCATTTGTTTCATTTCTTAATGAATCTCATTCGAGCCACTATGGCAAGACCCTCGACTACGCGTTAGCAACGGTAGTTTATTCGTTTATATTTATTTTAAAAAGCTTAACCTGCAATTTTTTAATGAACAGTCGAACAGAACAGAGTGAGAAATATTTGTCAAATTATAGTGTCTTCTTGATTATTTGCTAAAAAAAATAGATCATTTTCAAATCATGCTTTGTATTTTTTAAAACATTAATTTAGTCGATCTGGTCTGTCATTGTGGCAGTTTTTTCTATTGGAGCTATGGCTGGGTCATTTTTAGTCAGTTTTCTTACTGCTAGGGTAGGTCGAAAACGTGGTCTGTATGTAGCGTACGCTGTCCTTCTTTTTGGAGCTGCGCTTGCAATCATATCTTATCACGTAAGCGTTTTTACGAAGTTATTTTTTAGCAGTTTTTTAAAGTTTTTTTGCAGTACGTTTAAAGAAACACTAAAATAACTTCATGATTAGTTAATTTTTCTAAAAAGGACTATCTGAAAACGTTGATTTTCAGTCTGTATTCAAAGTAGCTTAAAAATGGATGACTACAAGGTTTTTAATTCAATAGCAAATAACGCGTAGTAGTTTTTTTTTAGGTTTGCTCTTATGAGCTACACGTTGTTGCTAGAATTGTACTCGGTATCGGAACTGGCTTAAGTCTTGGTACTGGATCGATATTGTTAAATGAAAGCAGGTAAATCACAGCTAGCTATTATGGTCATTTAATTCCGGTTATCTTTAGTAGATGCATACATGCTATTTGGTAATGCAAACATTTTAATAATATTATGAAGCAATCAAAGGTACATTAACTTTTATACAGTCAGGCAAATTAATTTTTGCTTAATTTTAACTTGATCAGATTGCAGTCCAAAGCGATGCCGTGGATTTATTAGTACAATTACTTCAGTAGTTGTCACACTGGGCCTGTTAACAGGAGCTATCATTGCCATGCCAATTGTGCTTGGTACTGAAACACAGTGGTGGTATCTCTATCTGATTGAATTCCTAGAAATTGTCGCTGTCGGTCTCATTCTACCATTTGTTCCAGAAAGCCCTAGGTTTGTTGATTCATAGAAGTGGTTTAAGAAAAACTAAAATTTTATATACTAATAGAAAGAAAGCTTGATGTCAAGGTAGGAGTTGTGTGCGGCCTCCTGTAACATGGAGGATCAGTGATCGTTAAGAAAACCTTGAAAAGGTGTCAGAATAACAATAACAATCCTTGTTATTTATGTTATAGCTCACTTTTTTCTTCTTAAGATTAAAAATTTTGACCTGAAACAGTAAGCAAAGGTGCCAGCACTAAATTCAAAGAGAACCTCATCATACAGTATAATTAGTGAAATCTATTTTGAGCAACAGGAAAATTAGGAACATAAACACTAAAGTGCACCACACCTCTATTTTGGTTTACCTTTTATAATAGACGTAGATGTAAAAAAGTGGCTTTGGTAATAACTTTCATTTCTAATTCAGTTACCTGATGATAAAGGGAAGAGAGGATGAAGCAAGAAAGGCAATACTGTTTTTCCATAGCTGCAAGATTGGAGCCGTCGATGCGGTTATGAACGAAATCAAAGAAAATTTGAAATTGTGTTCTAAGATGCAGTCTTTGATAAGTGTTTTCAAAGAAAAGTATTCGAGGCATGGGGTATTGGTTGGAGTTGTGATAGCTGCAACTGCGTGTTTCACTGGAAACACAGGTATCTGTCTAGTACTCTTTATAAAGTTCAATAGTAAATGTTGTTAAGAAAAGATTTTAAAATTTGTTTTTTTTTTAAGATCAACATTTTTTTACGCAGTGAAAATGATTTCAGTATAAAAATTTCAGTGATAAATGCTTTTGCCGTGGAAATTTTAAAGAATGTTGGACTACCTACTACTGCTGCTTATTTTGGCAATATAGGTTTAGTCGCAGTCATTGTGGTCAGTTTTCAGACGTTATTTTTCTCATTTTCTACTTTATAAAGTATCTTTACAAAAATTTTTTGTATTTTGACTTTTGATTTATTAACTAGTCTATGTTGAACGTGAATTTAAAAGGTTGTCGACATAGCAAAAATCAAAACTTATCAAAATAAGCTTTTTAATTCATTTTTTTTCTGTGAGTTCTCGGTTGGATTAAAAAATTTGGTAACGGTTTCACTAAGCTGCTTAGAAACATAAAAAAGGAAGTGTGACTTTTTGGGCTTGCAATTCAGCCTGACTGTTTTTTTAAATTAACTTGGAATTTGGTACCAGGAAATCTTTATGAATTTCTCAAATCTTTTGACAGCCAAAGAGCAAAAACTACTAGCAGTTTCAGTCTGGTGTGCTAAACGTGAAGGGCTATGCTACTATGCTGCCTCACTGACAGTATGTAATTCTAAACTAATTTTTTTTGCAGCTTTTGAAAAAATTGAATTTTTCAAAGTTGACATTTATCGTTTAAAGTACCAGTTTTGAAAACTGTTCAGAAGTTTTAACATTGTCAAACTCTTTTAAAATTTTTTTACCACCGTAATCTGTCTGTTTGAAAGCGAAGAAACTACTTTGAGCAGATTTAAAATTGTTAAAATTATACAAAGTTTGGTTGGACAATCAAATTCATAATCTCTGAAGAAATAATAAGCAGTAAGATAAAGATGCAAATTTGAACGCGAATGAGATCCGATTTTTGTCTGTTTTTGAGGATAGTTAAAAAATGTGATTTGCTGTTTTTATAACTGTCCTAATTAAAACAGCTTTCGTAATTAAAAACAATTTCCTTGTTTTCCACAAGTTTTCGACTGGCAACTTAGCGTTAATTTTTTATTTTTTCAACTGTGAAACGCAGTGGAAAGGGATAACCAACTTTTAAATGAATACTTTTGTTTTTAATAAACAAACTGTGTAATGAAGTGAAATGAACAGATCGCTCAATGCAGCCAACATAAAGGGATACACACCAAACATCTTTTTTGAGTCAATGATCTTGTTTTGTGGAACTTGAGGAAGTTTTGAAAAGCTGCTTTGATTTTTGCCACGTTTTAATGGGAATTCTTCTGTCGAAAAGCACAGGCATTTCTGTTGCAGTTGTCGACTTTTATCACAGAACCTAGAATAACTTTTTTTCAGCCATATATTACAGTATGCTGGACAAGAATCGGACATATACTAAGTGAAAATTAGTTGAATCTTCTTAAATCTATCAGATACTTTAATGGACATTTTAATGTGCTTTTTATTGGCTCAGCTTCGTGAGAATTCTAAATTTTATTTTTTATAGACTTCACTGCTTACGCGATTGGCTAAAATTTTAAAGAAGATACTAAAATAATATTTGTTTTGATTTATCTTCCAAAATTATTTATTAATGCTGCAATCTCTCTTAGATTTTAGAAAAAATCTTATTATTTATAGGTTGGGCATGTATTATCATCAGTAATTGTTGATCTTTTTGGTAGACGTCCGTTAGCTCTGACTTCTTCCATTACGATTGTGTTTCTAAACATTATTTCTGTCATACTTATGCACTGCTTCCAAGTCTACGGGGTAAGTTGGATTTTTGTAACTTCTATAGTACATCAAATGGAAAGCAATTTTCTTACAATTATCAACAGAAAAGATGCAAGTTATGGTTTTGCTATACGCAAATGAGCCTCAAATAATTTGATGGTTTGGCTAAACATACATAACGGTTAAATCTTATAGCATTTATCTCTTGGCTATGCACTTGTCGCTGTTATCGCCGTATTTCAACTATTTTTCTCAATTGGAGTAGGCCCGATGTGCTTTTTTATTGGTAGTGAAGTGGTCAGTCCTACAGCACGTGGTGCATCTCAGAGTTTTGCGCTATTTTCCCAAATGCTCTCGTATGTTTATTTTTTGAAAATTTGAAAAATAAGACTTTCTAGATGCTGACGTCTAATCGTAATTTCTAGGCTATGCTGCTCTGGTAGAAACAATAACTAGATATGTTTGTAACAGATAATTTAATCTGTTTACGGCATTTAATTCGTAAAATGTCAGTCTTAATTGCTGACAGATTTTGTTGCGAAATACTTATATAACTTACAGTGATAAAATAATATTTAAAAAAAAAAAAGAACAAAATGTGCATTTTTAAATAGGATTAAACGGCATTTGCGCTTAAATAAGCTTTCAACAAATTCTGTTATAGGCGAACAGTAATTTTGGCAATTTATTGGCCAATTGCTGAAGCAATTGGACAAGCGCTTACCTATTTTATTTTGTTTGTTATTCCGATGATTGCATCTTCCATATATTTGTATTTCAACTTGCCAGAATGTAAGAACAAAACATTCAAAGAAGTCAGTTGCACTGTTATATTCAAAATTTAACATTATAAAAAAATTGTAAAAAGACATTTTTTAACATTCAGAGGATAGTTATTTTTGCCGTTATGGTACATTTGGACATTTAGGTTATGGAAGAAATTGACGAACTGCCTTCAATCATGAAATGCTTTAGAGGAAGACGATCTAAACAGTACAAAGTAGTTGCGATACCTTTACGTAACGATAAAGTTTTTACAACAGAATCTGTTTGACAGATATATTACTTATGCTTGTAAAAGAAAAAAGAAAATTGAACCTATGAAATAGATAGCATTTTGATAAGTACTGCATATGAACATCTACCCACTATTGTATAATATGTCTCTGTAGACAGAAGCTGCAGCATTTTAATAAAACCTTTTTTCTTTTATTGGATTTATTGTATTGTTCGACACATAAAATTTGATACCAGTTTTTTTGCTGTTAAAAATTCAGATTGTCGTTGAAGATGTTGTAAACGTTTACTGTTAAGAGAAGAAAATATATAAATTATGGCGTTGAATGCAAAAATTTTACCGAATGCATGTACAGAAGCTGTAAATTAATGCTTAGTTACGATTTTCAAAGAATTTTTTTGTGTTGAAATGTGGTAAAGAAGTGCTCATTTTTAAAACTTGTAAACTTATCCTGGTAAGAATGTAATGAAGGTAGAAGGAAAGAAATTGAGTGCAGTCATTTCAATTTTAGCCCATTAATTAAAAGATGCTTTATGCTCTTTTCTTTCTTTTTTCTTTTTTCTTCTTTTTCTCAGCTTTTAAAATTTTGCTTTATTTTCACTTTGCACAACGGATGTCATTTGATACCACTCTTTTTTTCTGGCTTATTAAAAAAGTTTCACTGGTCGTTCGCTGTATTCTACAACACAAAAATTTTCTTTTCAAACTTTTAAAATGCCAATTATGCTTCAGCTTTCTGTAAAAGTTTAGAAACGCATTTTGTATATGAAAGACTGACAAACCGAGCAACTGGAAATCTGCTGACACCGATTTTTAAAAAAGCTAATAATTTCTGCATAGTTTGGAAAACTTTAATGTTTTGTAAATAGAAAATTTATATAACATCTTCAGTTTACATGCAATTATTTTTGATATCAGCTGTTCAGCACTAATTTGTTGTATAACGACTGAAAAAAGATTATCTTGAAAAAGGTTATCTTATTGCGTCGATTCTACTAAATACTAAGTTCCTCTAACGTAAGCTATTCTCAGCCTTATTCTAATGACCTTTTCCTGTAACAGTTACATTTAAGCTGGTTAAGAACCTTCATACTTATATTCTTTCTTAGTGTAAAAGACTAAAATTTATGCTTATAATTTATCAAAGGCTTATTTTTTTAGACATAGTGATAAACACTGTTAAATGCGAGAAAGTTATTCGACCAGTAACAGTTATCGATAGTACAGTGAAATTTGGTCATAGATGTCAGAAAATGTAAAGATGAAATTTTGGCTTATTTTTTTTCAACTTTTAAAACTTATTAACATTTATGTAACAAAACTAAAGAGTTAATGCAAAAAGCAGCAAATCAATTGAAATACTACAAATATATCGCCGAGTGCTTTATCGTTTCTGCTAAGCTCTAAATTGGCACTAATTTTTTGGTCAAC